TCCTCCAGTGCTGTACGTCGACAACAAGGCCGCCATTGCCTTGTGTGAGGAGCACAGACTGGAGCACAGAACGAAGCACATCGCTCTGCGTTACTTCCTGGCTCGAGATTTGCAGCAGCGAGGTCAGCTTCGGCTTCGTCACGTGGCCACTCGGGCCAACACTGCTGATATATTCACCAAGGCACTTCCGCCTGGTGATCATCAGCGCTTTTGTACCCTGTTAGGCCTTGTGCCTACGTTTCCACACTTGTTGTAGTCTTTGCTTGTACGGTGATCTATATATATACCTGCATGCCTGCTTCTGCTAGGTAGTCATCACTGTACTGTTATTGCTGCATATATATATCTCTGCATGTGAACTGGCCTTGTGGCCATTTGCTTGTGCTCAGAGTGTGTGGTGATGTTGTGATCCACCCTGAGCTTGCTTTGTTTCTCTTGACTGGTCGTGTGACCCCTTGTTCTCCCCCACTTTGCCTATGGGGGTGTGTCACACATATGCTGCATATTGTCTAGGTTGTAGTGGGGTAGCCCATATGGGGTACAACCCAAATTAGGGTTTACTACTTGTACTCCTGCATGCTGCTAGTTCAACCATTCCTGCTGCTAGATTCTAACATTAAGAGCATGGTATTAAGACACTGAGGCTGGAGACCCTGGGACTGGAGGTGCTGGTTCTGGGGGTGCTGCTGCTGGAGACACTGAGGCTGGAGACCCTGGGACTGGAGGTGCTGGTTCTGGGGGTGCTGCTGCTGGAGACACTGAGGTTGGAGACCCTGGGACTGGAGGTGCCGGTTCTTGGGGCGCTGCTGCTGGTGGCGCTGGTCCTGGAGGTACTGGCGCTGGGGGTGCTGGAGCTGCTGGAGCTGCTGGTGCTGGTGGCACTGCACCGACGCGACTGTTCTTCGCTCTGCCGTCTCCGTCGTCTCAGTCACCACCTACTGACTCTGTGCTTCGCCAGGTTCTTAGCCTCCCGTCTTCTACTGGTCTTCCGTTACTGCCTGGCTCACCGTTGCCTGCTCCTTCTCCTTACACTGAGCAGACAGGAGGTCTTACTGAGCGTCGTGAGCCTGCGTCGCGTCCTGTCTCGCCTGTTCGTCCTGGTCATACTGGTCATCGTGTTCCTCGTCAGCGTTCGCCGGTTGTCCTCGGCGTGCACCTCGTCGCCCTTCGTCCTTCCTCTGCTCCGCAGCGTGTTCCCCTGCCGTCTCCCCCTGCGTCCTCTCTACCTGACGTTACGGACCCTGAGTCTGACCGGTTTCGTGCTGCACACCCTACTGTCACGCGTCTGTTAGCCACTGTTGTCACTGACCCGTCGTTTGAGTCCACTGCTGCGTCTGCCTTAGTTGCTGAGCTTGTTGACTTTGCTGCTGCCTGTCGTCTAAACTACGCCGCTAGTCTTGTTGCTGATTCTGAGTCTGTCTGTCCTCCGTCCGTCGGGGGTGAGTGTGCTCTTGGCACGGACGTCCTTGAGGACAGGCACGAGGACCTTGAGTGTCTTGCAGCCGCTGCTGTCAGAGGTCCACTGGTGATCCCCGATGATCCTAGGGAAGGGTTACAGGCACGTTGGCCTGGGGGGTTATGGGCGCACTCACCCGCTACACAAACAAGCCCTTTTATCCCAGTGGTTAGTGACTGGGATTCTGACATGGTATCAGAGCGAAGGTCTCGGGTTCGATTCCCGGTGTGTGCACCTCGGGCATCCTAGTGCGGGGGGGTGTCAGAGGTCCACTGGTGATCCCCGATGATCCTAGGGAAGGGTTACAGGCACGTACCTGGGGGGTTATGGACGCACTCACCCGCTACACAAACAAGCCCTTTTATCCCAGTGGTTAGTGACTGGGATTCTGACAGCTGCGCCTCATCTCGTGGCCATGCTGCTTGCCCCTGAGGGAGACCCGGATGCACCAGACATTCCGACCCCGCGCTCTTACGCTGAGGCGATCGCGGGTGAGTACTCCTCTCAGTGGCAGACAGCCATGGACACAGAGATGGCATCCTGGAAGTCCACAGGCACTTACGTCGATGAGGTTCCCCCTCCTGGGGCGAACATCGTCAATGGCATGTGGATTTTCAGGGTGAAGCGGCCGCCGGGTTCTCTGCCTGTCTTCAAGGCTCGTTACGTTGCAAGAGGATTCAGTCAGCGTGAGGGAGTTGACTTCTCCCCTACCCCGAAGATGACCACTCTTCGGGTGCTGCTGCACGTTGCCGCTCAGCGTGACTACGAGCTTCACTCTCTTGACTTCAGCACAACCTTCTTACAGGGCAGCCTGCACGAGGAGATCTGGTTGCGCCGCCCACCTGGCTTCACTGAGTCGTTCCCTCCTGGTACCCAGTGGAGCCTCCGGCAGCCAGTCTACGGTCTCCGCCAGGCACCTTGTGAATGATACGACACACCGAGGACTACACTTGCGGCTCTTGGGTTCGCTCCTTCGACTGCTGACCCGTCGCTGTTTCTACGCACCGACACTTCGCTGCCGCCGTTCTACATCCTCGTGTACATCGTCGACTTGGTCTTTGCCACTGCTGACACTGAGGCTCTCGCTCTGGTGAAGTCGGAGCTGCAGAAGAGACACACGTGCACTGATCTGGGTGAGCTGCGTAGCTACCTTGGCTTGCAGATCACCCGGGACAGAGCATGCCGCACCATCACCTTGACCCAGTCACACATGGTGCAGCAGGTCCTTCAGCGCTTCGGCTTCACCTGGTCCTCCCCACAGTCCACTCCTCTGGCTACAGGTCACTCGCTCTCAGCTCCACCTTCCCGTAGAGTCGAGTGGTCAATACGTAGAGCTAGTGGGCTGCCTCATGTACCTGATGACCTGCACTCGACCTGACCTCGCATACCCTCTTGGCCTTTTGGCTCGCTACGTGGCTCCTGGTCGGCACCGAAAGGTGCACATGGATGCTGCTAAGAGGGTACTGCGCTACCTGTGCAGTACATCGGGCATGGGGCTCGTGCTTGGAGGACGGAGCGACGTTGTCCTCACTGGACACTCTGACGCATCTTGGGTTGACGACCAGGCTACGCAGCGGTCGTCACAGGGTTACACCTTCAGCCTTGGCTCTGGCTCTGTTTCTTGGCGGTCTACGCGCTCGTCTTCTGTTCTCAGCTCCAGTTGTGAGGCTGAGATCTACGCCACAGCCATGGCTGCACAGAAGTTACGCTGGCTCACCTACCTGCTGACTGACTTGGGAGAGAGGCCTCGTTCTCCTCCAGTTCTGTACGTCGACAACAAGGCCGCCATTGCCTTGTGTCAGGAGCACAAACTGGAGCACAGAACGAAGCACATTGCTCTGTGTTACTTCCTGGCTCGGGAGTTCCCGCAGCGAGGTCAGCTTCGTCTTGCTCACGTGGCCACCAGGGCCAACATTGCTGATATATTCACCAAGGCACTTCCGTCTGGTGATCATCGGCGCCTTTGTACTTTGTTAGGCCTTGTGCCTACGTTTCCGCACTTGCTGTAGTCTCTGCTTGTACTGTGATCTACATATATATACTTGCATGCTTGCTCTTGCTAGGTAGTGATCACTGTGATGCTATTGTTGCATATATACCTCTGCATGTGAACTGGCCTTGTGGCCCTTTGCTTGTGCTCAGTGCGTGTGGTGACGTTGTGATCCACCCTGAGCTTGTTTTGCCTTTCTTGACTGGTCTTGTGACCCCTTGCTCTCCCCCACTTTGCCTATGGGGGTGTGTCAAACATATATGCATGTTATAATTGTGTAGGCTATAGTGGGGTAGCCAATATGGGGTACAACCCCATTAGGGTTTCATATTTGTACCCAACCTTCTGCTAGTTCATTCCATTCCTGCCTGTAGTTTCTGACAGAGCAGGAGGTCCTTAAGACCTTAGGAACGATTTTTTCGGGCCCACCCTCACCTGCGGTTACCGCGTTACCCCGTGCCCTGCCTACCCTGCCCTGCGTCGCACAGCCCCGCACACGCCCTGCCTTTCCTTGCGCCGCGCCGCTAGCAGTGCGCCGCCTTTGCAGCCCGTGCGCCGGCCGCTAGCAGCCCGCGCGACCCGCGCGTCGCCTCCTCTGGCCCGCGCGCAGCCCGCTAGCATCCCGCGCGACCCGCCAGCTGCACGCGCAGCCTGCGCGCGGCTCCTGCCAGCCCGCGCACCCCCAGCTAGCAGCCTGCGCGCTGCCGCAGCTGCCTGCTCCGCCCCGCGCGCTGCCCGTGCGTCGCCGCTACGCCCTGCGCACTGCTCTGCCCATGCGCCGCCGCCGCGCTTCGCGCACTGCCCTGCCCGTGCGCCGCCGTCGCGCCCTCCCTGCGCGCAGCCCGCCGCCCACGGGCTTCTCTGCCCGTGCGCCGCCCGTCACACGGCTGCCTGTAGCCCCGTGCACCGCCTGCCTCTGCCGCGGCTGCCTGCTACGCTCTAGCGCGCCAACCCTACTACTATTGCTTGCCTACAATCGCTCTGCCCTGCTAGTCCCGCGCCTGCAGCTATGGCCACTCTCCGCGTTCTCTCGTTCGATGCTAAGGGCCGCCCGATTCAGTTCGACACCTGGCTCGATGACCTGCAGCTGTTCCTGATGAGCGATAGCAAGGACAACGTCTCTCTCTATGACCACACGTCTGGTGCCTCAGTCGCTCCTGCTGCCACAGCTGAGCTTAGTGCCCGTTCTCAGTGGCAGACTCATGACGCTGCTGCCCGCCTAGCTGTTCGCAACCACCTACCGCTAGCCGAACTCACGCATTTTGGCGAGCACAAAATAGCTAAGGCCCTGTACGACGCTGTAGTTGCTCGATACTCCTCCCCTGCCACTGCTGAGCTTAGCCGCCTCATGCTGCCGTACCTGTTTCCTCATCAACCATCTTCGCTCTAGTGACACTCGCCTTCGCGCCGCCCTCCCCAGAGAGTTCTGTGCTAAGAACCCGCCTCCGATGTACTGGAACCTTCACGTTATCATCACCCACCTCCCTGACTCTCTTAGCTCTGTCAAGGGACTACTTTCTTGCTCGCTGTCCCACCGACCTCACCGTCGACCTCCTAGAGCAGCACCTCTTTGCAGCAGAGAAGAGCATAGTAGCTGTCGGTGCTGCTCGTGGCGCTCCTCGCACCCCCATCTTTGAGGGGTGCTCTCCCTCTCCCCTCGCCCCCTCTTTCACTACTGTTGCTGTAGTTGACTTCCTTGGTGCTGATTCTGCTGGTGCTGCCTCTGCTCTGAGTGGGAGGCGCCGCAACGGCAAGGGCAAGGGAGCCAAGGGTAGCGGAGGTGGCACCGGGGGTGGTGGTGGTGGAGGAGGTGGAGGAGGCGGAGGTGGAGGAGGGGCTGGTGGCGGGAGTGGTAGCGTCGGTAGCGGCGGTGGAGGCGGTGGCGGAGGAGGCGGTGGCGGAGGAGGCGGTGGCGTAGGCGGCGGCGGCGGCGGAGGGGGTGGCGGCGGCGGTGGCTGCGGCAGTGGCGGCCGGGGCAGTGGTGGCGGCGGCGGTGGCGGTCGGGGTGGAGGCACTGGCACTGGCCAGAGCCAACAATAGAAGCAACGTCCCGAGACCTCCCAGCAGCTTCGTGAGTGGCTTGCTCAGCGTGGGAAGTCTGGGGGTGGTGGTCGCTGCCCTTATGTCATTCGCACAGGTGACCGCAAGGGTCAGACGTGCAACAAGTTTCACACCCAGCACCGCTGCTTCTCCCGCCTTGACGATGCCTGGCGTGAGGAGATGGGCGATGAGTATGACCACCCTCACTGGCATGAGCTGTGGAAGGCTGGTGTAGATGTTTTTGCTCTTGACTTTGATGCTATTATCTCTGCTATGTATGCATTGGAAGTTAGTGCTGATGGTGTCTGTTACCTGTGTATGCCGCCTGACCCAGGTATAGAGGCTGCTGCCTTAGGTGCGAGCGAGTCTGCTCTCTCAGGTACTGCGCCTGCTGAGGCCCTGCACACCTTCACACCTGACTCAGATATAGAGGCTGCTGCCATAGGTGCCGGCGAGTCTGCTCTCTTCGGTACTGCGCCTCCTGACGCATTGCACACTTTCACGCTTGACTCAGGTGCTTCTCGTTGTTTCTTCCGTGACAGTACCGTACTCACACTGCTCCCTGCGCCTGTCGCAGTCTCTCTGGCTGACCCCTCAGGGGGCCCAGTTCTTGCACGGTCCACCACTGTGCTTCCGTGCCCGGCGGTCCCGTCTGGCTCACTGTCAGGTCTCCACCTCCCCTCGTTCTCGACGAACTTGGTGAGCAACGCTGCCCTTCAGGATGTGGGGGTTAATACCTTCACCCCTGCTTGGCAGCGTGTGGCGATCTGCACGTGTGCACAGACTGGCCGTCACCTGGCCACGTTCACTCGTCGGCCAGGGTCGAGTCTTTACACACTGACGACTGTGTCTCCTCAGGTCGCTGCTGTCGGTCAGGTGTCTGCGTCAGGTCTGGTAGCCTCCCCTTGTGAGTGTCGCTCCCTGTCGCACCAGACTCTTCTCTGGCACCACCGTCTGGGTCACCCCTCCTTGCCACGTCTACGTGGCATGCACCGTCGCCTCCTTGTGTCTGGTCTTCCCAGGTCCCTCCCTCCCCTCCCTGCCTCGCCTGCGCCGCCCTGCCTTCCTTGCGTCGAGGGGTGGCAGCGCGCCGCTCCTCACTCCTCGTTTCCCCCGACAAAAGCTCCCCTGCAGACGCTCCACCTGGACGTGTGGGGCCTAGCCCGCGTCCGTGGACAGGGCGGTGAGCGGTACTTTCTGCTGGTTGTCGACGACTATTCGCGTTACACCACGGTCTTCCCCTTGCGCACCAAGGGTGAGGTCCCTGCTGTCCTGATCCCTTGGATCCGAGCAGTTCGTCTCCAGCTCCGCCGGAGGTTCCGTACGGACATCCTTGTCCTGCGTCTGCACTCTGACAGGGGTGGTGAGTTCACCTCCGACCTCTTGCGGGCCTTCTGTCAGGGGGAGGGCATCGAGCAGTCGTTCACGCTTTTGGGCTCACCGCAGCAGAATGGGGTTGCTGAGCACCGCATTGGCTTGGTCATGGAGATCGCTCGTACCTCCTTGATCCATGCGGCGGCTCCCCATTTTCTGTGGCCGTTTGCGGTCCGGTACGCCGCGCAGCAGCTCAACCTCTGGCCCCGTGTGTCCTTGCCGGACACCTCGCCCACACTGCGTTGGACGGGAGAGGCTGGCGATGCGTCGCGTTTCCGGGTCTGGGGTGCTCGTGCCCTTGTCCGCGATACGACCGCGGGCAAGCTCTCCTCCCGCACCATTCCCTGTGTCTTCCTTGGCTTTGTCCCTGACGCGCCTGGCTGGCAGTTCTACCACCCCACCTCGCGCCGTGTCTTCCCCTCTCAGGACGTCACCTTTGACGAGTCGGTTCCTTTCTACCGTCTCTTCCCCTACCGCACTGCCCCTCTCCCTCCCCCACCGCTTTTCCTCGCTCCAGGTCCTCCTCCGGTAGACCCCCTTCCCCCTCAGGGTCCTGCTCCTTCAGGTGTGTCTCAGGTAGACCCACTCCCCTTGGCTGAGCCTGTCGAGGTTACTTCCGACACCTCTGGCCCAGCTGAGGGGGGTGACGTTGCTGCTGACGCCGCGTCCCCCCCCCCCCCCCCCCCCCCCGCGGCGAATTACGACAGCTACAGGGACATCGTGCGTGCAGCCGAACGTTACGACGCGCTGACTCGAGGTCAACCCGAAACACGACGTTTCGCGCCGAACCGTACATTCGGCACGGAGCGATCGGCGCCCCCTACGTTCGCCGAACCGATGGATATCGACAAGTTTGACGCGAAGCAGTAGTCGGCGAAATGTGAAATTTGCGGCGCAGCAGGGCATCAAATCTTGTCGTGTGTGAGGATCTGGTTCAGGAAAGATTGAACTATTCAATAATGCACCTGGGTACAAGGCGAGGCTATATATAGGCTCGACACAAAGGCAGTAACCCTGGTGTTACTAGAAGGTTCCGTGGGTCGCGAAGCGTCCCGAACGGGTCCTTCCCGAATTCGGTAGAAGGCAATTCGGTGGCAACCGAAAAGCCTAGAATTCGGTGTGCTCAACCTAGTTCGGTGCCTATAACTATAATAATATAGTAAAAGCAACGAACCTAGGAATTCTAGCAAAAGCAAGCAAAATAAAGCAAAGCTAAGCTAGATAATGCATAAGAAAGCATAATCAAGCTAGTAAATCATAGCAAAGTCGTCGTACTCTCACACGTCCCCCCCTCAAAGCTGGGTGGCGTGAGATACACCCTGCTTGACAAGATAATCCTTGAGAGCACGGCGTGCATTGCCCATATCAGCTTCTGCAACTCAAACATGTTGCCGCGGGTCGTATCCCTTCCAGCGTATCAGGAACTCGAGCGTGTTGCCGCGTCTGCGTCGATGAGCGAGAACTCGTTCCACCTCGTACTCTGGTTCATCCTGTATGAGAACAGGTGGTGGTGGCGGTAGCTGTCGTCCTGTAAACTGTTGGTTGGGGTCCTTGTAGGGCTTCAGCAGCTGAACATGGAAAGCATTGTGAAGCTTCCACATAGTAGGTAAGCGCAAGCGGAATGTAACTGGTGTCACCATCGCCTCAACGCGAAAGGGACCACAGAAGCGAGGCCGGAGCTTGGACGGAATATGGGACAAGTCCAAGTTGTGTATGTCGAGAAGCACCTGATCTCCGACTGCTACTGAGTGATCTCGTCGCTGTCGATCGGCATACTGCTTCTGGGAGTTCTGCATCGTGGTGAGACGTCGCTGAGTCTTCTCCCATAGCTGCTGCATGGTGGTGACGAAGTCGTGTGCGGCTTGGACGTGTGCCGGTGTGGTTGGCTGCTGTGGTGTAAGTGGTTTTCGCCCATAGCACAGGAAGAAAGGAGATTTCCCTGTGGCCGCATGCGACGCGTTGTTGTAAGCGAACTCAAGCGTTGGTAACTGTTGATCCCAGTGGCTGATGTGGTTCTTGCAAGCTGTGCGCAGTAACTGTTCAACCACCTGATTGAGTCGCTCAGTCTGTCCGTCAGTCTGGGGGTGGTATGCTGAAGACATCGCAAGCATTTTCCCCAACAATCCCATGAGTTCCCTCCAGAACTTACTAGTGAACTTTGGGTCTCTGTCTGAGATGAGTGTAGCGGGGATGCCGTGGATGGTGATGATGTGGTCGAAGAAGAGGCAAGCAGTTGCTTCAGCTGAAACCGTGGCGTTGGTCGGGATGAAGTGTCCCATTTTAGAGAACTTATCGATCACCACGAGTATAGCATCATGCCCTCGTGAGGTCGAAGGAAGACCAGTGATGAAGTCAAGGCTAACAACTTGCTATGGCTTCTCCGGTACGGGTAGAGGCTGAAGTAACCCTGCTTTCTTCGGCTTGCTACTCTTCACCCACTGGCATGTGTCGCATGAAGTGACGAACTGCTGCACGTCTGCTGCCATCCGGGGCCAGTAGTAATACTTCGCTATTCCCGCTAACGTCTTGTTACTCCCGAAATGTCCCGCGTATGCCACATCGTGGAACTCCTCCAGTAAGATCTGTCGGAGCGGGGCATAGTTCGGTACCCAAATCTTTCCACTGCTAAGTCATTCTCCCACTGTAACAGCTTTTGATTCTGTGCGTCCACGGAGTACCCATGTTGGAATAGACCCTTGAGTAGAGGTCATCGAGCTGGATGCCTGCTACATGACCGGGGCGGCTCAACGCGTCAGCTTTGTTGTGTAGCCCGGGTTTGTAGACGATGTCGTAGTGGAAGTGGGTCTCCAAGAAGTCCACCCACCGCACCTGTCGTCGTGAGAGCGTCGGCTGCAACTTCAGGTATTTGAGACTGCAGTGGTCAGTATAGACTGTAGTCTTGGCTCCCTCTAGGTAACACCTCCACGCCTTGAAGGCTGTGACTATCGCTAAGGCTTCCTTGTCGTGGATGGGGTAGTTCAGTTCTGCTCCGTGTAGCTTCTTACTGAGATAGGCGATGGGTTGCAAACCGCGTCCGTGATCCTGCATCAGTACTGCTCCGAGTGTTTGGTCACTAGCGTCTGGATCCGGTAGGATGAGTACTGGCGCTATAGTCAGTGCTGTCTGTAGCTGCTCCATGGCTTGCTGTTGAGGAGTATCCCATTTATAGGGCGTATCCTTTTTCAGTAGGTTGGTCAGTGGCGCTGCTATCTTAGCGTACTGCGGCACGAACCTGTTGTAGTAGTTGGCGAAGCCTAGGAACTGCTGCAACTCCTTCACGTTCTTAGGAACTTTCCACTTCTTAACGGCTTCGATCTTCCGCGGGTCCACGTGTACGCCCTCCGCACTCACCATGTGCCTGAGAAACTGCACCTTCTTCAGGGCGAAGTCGCTTTTCGACAGCTTCACGTAGAACTTGTTCTTCCGCAGGATCTCGAAGACTTTCCGCAGATGCTCCACGTGCTCCTTCATGGTTTTCGAGTAGATCAGTATGTCGTCCAGATACACCACCACGCACTTGTCTAGCAGGGGCCGTAAGATATGATTCATCTCCGCCTGGAACGTCGCTGGTGCGTTGCAAAGTCCGAACGGCATCACCAAGTATTCGTAGGAGCCGTATCTCGTACGAAACGCCGTCTTGTGGATCGAGTTGTCTGCCATCTTGATCTGCCAGTAACCCGACCGTAGGTCCAGCTTCGAAAACACCGTCGCACCACGCAGTTGGTCTAGAAGATCGCCTATGCACGGTATGGGATATTTGTTCTTGACTGTCTGTTTGTTCAGTGCCCGGTAGTCGATGCACATCCGTAAACTACCGTCTGGCTTTGGAGTGAAGAGAA